TTTAGGGTTAAGGTTTAGGGTTCAGGGTTTAGGGTTAGGGTTAAGGTTTAGGGTTAGGTCATAGGGTTTAGGGTTAGGGTTAAGGTTTAGGGTTAGGGTTAGGGCTAGAGTTTAGGGTTAGGGTTAGGGTTAAGGATTAGGGTGTAGGGGTTAGGGTTAGCGTTAGGGTTAGGGTTTAGGGTCAGGGTTTAGGGTGTAGGGTTTTGGGGGTTAGGGTTTAGGGTTAGGGTTAGGGTTTAGGGTTTAGGGTTTAGGGCTAGGGTTTAGGGTTTAGGGTCAGGGTTGGGGTTGAGGTTAGGGTTTAGGGTTAGGGTTAGGGTTTAGGGTTTAGGGTGAGGGGTAGGGTTGAGGTTAGGGATTAGGGTTGAGGGCTAGGGTTAAGGGTTCAGGTTTAGAGCTTAGGTTAGGGCTAGGCTTAGTGTTAGGGTTTGGGGTCAGGGTTAGGTCTACGGTTAGGGTTTAGGCTTCGGGTTAGGGATTATGGATTAGGGTTCAGGGTTTGGGTTAGAGGTTAGGGCTTCGGGGGGGTCGGGGCGGGGGTGGTAGGGATGGGGTTCCGGAGCCGGGGCGCGAGCCGGGGAAAGGGGGGGGGGGGGGTTCGCCGACGACGGTTCGGGAAAGGGGGGGGGGGGGGTCGCCGACGACGGCTCGGGCAAGGAGAGGGGGAAGGGGGGGTTCGCCGACGACGGCTCGGGCAAGGGGGGGGGGGGGGGGGGTTCGCCGACGACGCAACCGACGACGGCTGGGCGGGGGGGGGGGGGGGGGGTTCGCCGACGACGGCTCGGGCAAGGGGGGGGGGGGGGGGTTCGCCGACGACGGCTCGGGCAAGGGGGAGGGGGAAGGGGTTCCGACCCCCCCCCCCCTTTGGGTGATCCAGCGGCGCGCCATTTAAATGCCAGCAAAACCGACATTCTGAATCTGATGGCCATCATTGTTTGAGGTAGTGATCTGGGGGGTGGGGTCCGTAGGCGGAAGCGAGGAAACCTTTTCCCACCCGCGAGGGTTGACTGTTGCGTTGCCAAGTGCGTTGTGCACCGTTTGCTTTGCTGCCTCTGTTGCTGCCTGTGCTGGCTGTGGCGGAGGAGGCGGGTCAACGGGCACAGGGGAATTCAGTGGGTCCTCGGGTCCTCCATTGGCGGCGGCGAGGTAAGACGTGGTGGCGGAATCGGCAGCCGCGCAGGCATCTGTAAGTATTGCGAACTTGAGTGTCACTTCGGAGCGCCATGCCTGTGATTGTCGTTAACGTTTCTCGCAATCAGAGGCGCGTGCTGGTACATAAGGACTGACATCTTTGAGGGCGACGTGAATGCGACGAGTGCGGGCGGCAATTCCAATTCTATTGAAAGCCTTGTACAAGTGCTTGGTGCACGCACCTTTGTTCTCTGAGGGATTGGGAATCCCGCCAGAATAAGAAGCGCACGGAGAAACACGAGGCGAGAGAAAAACTATGAGCGAATGCGAAGGTCTCGATCGGTGATCGGATCGATCTCGTGCGGGGCTCGGGCGATACTCCTGTTGGGTCGCCGCGCCCAGTGGTAGGCCGCGTGCTGCAGGGAAGACCTGTTCTTCCACTGCAGAGCTCGGGCCCGCAGCTCCTCCCTCTTCCTTCCCCTCCTCCTCCTCCTCCTACTCCTCCTCCTCTTTCTCCTCCTCCTCCTCCTTTTATCATTAGTCTTATTATTATCGTCCCCCTCCTCCTTCCCCTTCTCGTCCTCTGCCTCCTCCTCCCTCTCCCTCCCCCTCCTCCTCCTCCTCCTCCTCCTCTTCCTGTGCCTCTTCCTCCGCGCCTCGACCATGCGTTTGAGCACCTGGAGGTCCGTGTTGGGGCTGTCTTGGGCTCCTGTGATGCATTCTTGGGAGCTCCGTTGGGCTGTCTTGGGGCCCCGTGGGGCCGTCTTGGGGCCCTCCTGGCCGTCTGGAGTACCTCTTGGGGCCCTCTTGGGGCCGCCTAGGGCCATCGAGGGGCTATCGAAAGCCGTCTTGAATCCCTCTGGAGGCCCTCTTGGGCCAGCTTGGCTCTCCGAGAACCGTGGTGGGCCGTCTAGGGCCCCTCTTGCGCCGTATTGAGGTCGCTTGGGCCATGTTGGGGTCCTCTTGGGCCGTCTTGGGCAGACGGAAGCCCAGAAACGTGGTAAGGACAAGTCGACGAAACACATTGAGACACCCGTCTATTTTTGCTGATTCGAACCCTCCTGGAGCTGCTGTTGGGGCCCTTTGGAACCGTCTTGCGGCCTCTGTGAGCCATCTTCAGGCCGTCTTGAGCTGTCATGACGCTACCTTGGGCCCTCTCGGGGCCATCTGAGGGGGGAGGGAGGATGCGGCTGGCTCCAAGGAGGAACAGAAGGGGGGAAGGTGGAGGGGGGAGGAGGAACAGGAGCGGGAGCAACAGGAGAGGGGGAGGAGGAACAGAAGGGGGAAGGAGTGGGGCCCATGGGGGCATCTTGGGCCATCTTTGGCGGCCTGGGTGGGCTCCCTGGGCTGTCACGGAAGCCTTGGAAAGCCCCATAAGGGGCGCCATGACCGCCCAAGGACCTCCGGGAATAGGAGGGGTGCAGGTGACAGTCTGTGTTCCGCGGAGGGGGTGTCCATTATAAGATTGCAGAAACCCTGCCAGACAGTGTTTGACATTCTTCCACGCCTCGACGTGCTGCAGGCCAGGTGGCGGATTTGTTGTTTCACCGATTGGCGCGGCCCCCCGCCCCGCCCTTCCTCCTTCCCATACACCAGATCCTGGCTGCTTTTGGCGGCTGCTTGTGGCGACCCGTCAGAGCCCTTCTCCCCCGGTCTGCTTGCGCGACTGTCAAAAGCAGGTCGATTAAGCAGTGGCCCAGACCCAGAGCCCCCCTCTCCCCCACCCTTCGGCCGAATGTCGAAACCCAAAATAAAGCAGAACGCCAATCCCTTCTTCGCAGAGTCTGTGCGGAAGATACTCCGCCCTCCCCGCGTATTGTTTACAGCGGCGTTCGGCAGCTTCTCTGCACCATCGGGCCAGTTTCGGTCCTTCAAGCATAGTGCTGCCGCTGCAGCGTGGGCCCCGTTTTAGGATCGGCGCTTTGCTCCCGTCGTTCAGAGTCACTCTCGTCCCAGCGCGGGCCACTTTTCTGGATCTGGAGCCTTCATCGTTGTCGCTCCCTCCTTTCCCGTCCTTCACCGTCGACTGGTCCTCCTGCTCCTCCCGCTCCTTCCACACCAGCTCCTGCTGCTGCTGTTCGTCCTCGTCCTCCTCCTCCCTCCTTCTTTTCCTCCTCCTCCTCCTCCTCCTCCTTCGTATCCTCCTTTTCATCCTCGTGCTCATCTGCCACTTCCACCACTGTACGCAGTTTCCCTTTTCCGATTGCGCATAACACGTTGGGGCTATGTTTGGAAATCCGGGTCCGTTATGACACGCGTCGGCGGATAGAAGACAATCGGCGCAATGGCAAGGGATGGGTGGGAGGGGTATGATGTCAGATATGGCGCGACCGCGCCTAGCTTGCCACTCCCCCTCTCTTCTCTTCTTCCCCCGTCTTGCTCTCCTATGGCCGCTCCGGTGCGAGCTGGACCTCCCTCTGCCCTTGGCCCCCCGAGAGCAACAGGGGGAGGCCGAGGACCCCGAACTGTTCGAACGCATCATCAATGCGGCGTGGAGCGTCGACGCGAAGCTGTGGAGAAACCTCAGCGACAGGATCGGGGCTGGATAGAACTTCAACCCTGCCGGGTCGATTAGCGAATTGCCCTCTTTCGGTTCTGGCGAGGGTGTTGCGGCCGCAATGTCTGCGGGCCTGCGCCCGCGTCTGGCTCCAGGTCGTTCTTATTCACGGGTGTTTTGCCAAACCACCCCCGAGAGGACCGCCCTGGTCTTCCTGGCGCTCCGAAATTCCAAAATGTTTCGGAGGTTTTCGAGACCTGTGGTGGCTTCCATCAGCTGCGCTTTGCCGAGAGCGTTCTGGGGATGCCGGGATCGTCCCGAAAGGCCGCCAGAGACCAGAGCTATGACAGATCAATGATCGATATTCGGGTTGATTTTCGAAGGTTGATCCTGTTTGGGGATGTGTTCCAGCTGCGCCTCGCCGACAGCGTTCCGGGGGGCGCTCGTATCGTTCCGAACGGCTGCTGGAGGCCCGAGTTGTGGCCCGAAGGTCCGGGAGGGATCGAGGTTCGGCCGCGCGAAAGGGTGGCCTTTCGCTGGGGTGACCCCAGCAGGTTCTTCGCCAGAGCGGCCCTTCGCTGGTGTGGCCCTCCGCGGAGTGGCCCTTCGCTGGAGTGGGCTATCGCCCGTCGCCTCGGCTACACACGAGATTGGGTTGCGCGCTTGGATTCCGCCCTCCTGCGTATGGCTGAGCGCCTTCCACCCCGAGCCGAAGTCCAGGGTTCTGGAATGCTTTTTGGCCTGCCAGGGCCTCCTGTGGCGTTCTCGTCGCCATGGCCCGATACGCCTGGAAATGTTGGGTAGAACGCACTCCTGAATAGGGCTGTGGGTCGATTTTTGACCCATGTCTCCAGGCCGCCCAGATCCAGGGGACCGCGCCGCATCCGCGAAGCGGATCGATTCTGGGCCCGCCTTTCTTAATCTCGACGTCACCGATGCATCGCCGATGCGGTCCCTCCATGCCCTGTCTTCAGGTGTTTACAGATGTGGCCCTGACCCACAGTGACTCCAGCTTTGCCAGGGAGACCCGGGTGGCCTCCAGAGCACCCCTCACGGAGCCCACAGGGCCTACACAGCAACGCTGGCTGCATGGAAAGAGCATGAGTATCACCTTGGGTGAGACCTTGGGTAAGACAAGGAGTGCGAGTGAGAACAGGAGTGGGCGCCTGATTATGATTAGGAGCGAGAGTACGAGCAGGAGTAAACGTAAGAACATTTCTCGGAGTTCGAGTAAACCAATGAGCTGGACTAGTATCGTTATCGTTTCATACTCACCACCACCGCCAGCACCAGCGTGCACACCACAACCAGCGCCATGCGCTGCGCCTGCATCTCATAGTATACTGGTTTCCATGCCCGTGCTTGCACTCAGGAGGTACGGCTGGGGAATGAAGGCATCAAAGCGCGACCCCAACCATGGGGAGAAGGCCTTACGGCCGGTGCCGCCGACCCTGAGAACGACGAAGATGAAAACGAGGGGGGGGGGCAGAGGGAGGAGGATGAGTGGGCGGTGGAGGAAGGGTGGAGGAGATGGATGAGGGAGGATGGGGGGGGTCAGAAGGATGTGGAGGAGAAGCAAGGGGAGGAGAAGGAAGCAGAGGAGAGCAGGAGGAGGGGGAGCAGCAGAGGGGGGGGGGAGATTTTTCCCAATCGGGCTTTGTCCAAGAATTTCCTGCACGCTTGGGAACTGTACCGGTGGGCGCGGCGTGACTCGTCAGAGGCGGCGCCCGGCCCCGCTCGGTGGCTGCCCTGCTGCCCTGCTGCCCGGCCTTCCTCGGGTCTCCTGGGGTGCGAGGCGACGCCAAGAAGTGCCGAGCAGTGCCAAGCACTGCCAATCGATGCCGGGCGATGTCCGGCAACGCCACGCAGTGCAACTCAAGTCGAAGCAACGCCAGGCAGTGCCGATCGGTGCCAAGCAGTGCCAAGCATTACCCAGTTCTGCTCGCGGACCTCACATACGCGGATGCTGGTATTGGAGGGTGGGTGCCGTGCCGCGCTTACCAGCAGCGACGGCTGCGCCGCAGCGTGCGCCAACGTCTGGGTGCTCGGCGAGTTTCTCGGCATTTTCGCTTGCCCTCGGCGCTCGACTGGCGAGGCAGACGTAGACAAGTTCTGCTGCTGGCGGTGCCTGAACCGACTGCCGTTGCCTGGGCTTGCCCATCCACGGGATCCGCCACCACCGCCGAATACTTCGCCAAGAAGATCTAGGGGCGAGGTGCGAGCCGGAAGTTCAACGGCGTTCTCATTCGGACCAGCGACCATGTGGCCCGCTTCCGCGTTCACCCGCAGGCCGTGAACCGCGCCGACCAGTCAGGGCTGTGGATCATCTACGCAGCGGTGACAGGGGGCCAGCTCTCGTGCGCTGAGGCAGCGTTTAAAGCAAACCGAGCCCAAGCGTGTCCACCTCGACCACTCTCATGAATGCAAGGTCAAGGACGGGGACTGCGCAGAGTACGCTGCGCTCTACTCCGAAGCCATCGTCGATGTGGGCTCCAGCGCTTGGTTCGCTACATGCATGGGATTGGCCCTCGCGTGGCACCAGGAGTCCGAGTCCGAGGTCGAGCCAGGGCCGTCCCTCCGAGGCTGTCAAAGTTGGCGTGGTGCTCAGAAGCGGCATGCGCCAGCTCGCGGCCGAAGGCTGCAACGGCGCCGCCACATCAGAACCCACCATGCCCCTGTGCGGAGACGGCCGGGCCTCGGACGTCCCGCCGTCCTCGGAGGGGTGCGCCGCCACCGCATGCCTCTGTGCTTGCCATGATCATGTGTGCCGAACGACGCGGCTCGAGGATGTGTGCTCCCAGGTGACGTGCTGCCGGCAGGCCGTGGGGGCCGCCGCTGGAGGCCCTCAGTGTGTAGTGCATTTGGGTGGAGACGCAGGCCGGGCAGCGGCAGCGTCCACCAGCCCAGCTCCCCCCAGCTGTCCCTGCGCGGGGCTGCGCCGGCAAGAGGCCGCGGCGGCCGCGGCCCGTGCCCCGCGCGGGGCGGCGCGGGCGAGGGCCAGCTCGCCCAGGCGCGTGAAGCCTGAGGCTAGGAGGAAGCCGCTGGGGCCGTCCCGGCGGAGGTCCACTGCGCCCGCGGCTGGCTCAAGCCCGGTGCGCTTCGAATCGCAGCCCGTTCCACTGCCCAGTCGCGATCCCGAGGTGGAGTTCGAGTCAGTTAAGTTAAGGACGAGGAGCGCGTCGTGACGAGGGTGTGCATTCGCTGGGCCGACGGGCCCCAGCGGGCCATCTTCCTGTGCGCGGTCGACAGGGCCAGCGCGCGACGCCGCTGCCCAGAGCGCCAGGATCCCCGTTCACGGGCCTCGTGGCGAGGACATCTACTTCAACGTCAGTTCGGACGGGCTCCTGCCTTCCCCGAAGGTCAGCAGCTCAGGGCGCTTACCAAAAGCCTTCCTGGCGGAGGTTCTGCAGCGCCCACCCATCGGCGTCCAGGAACTCGGGATCCGGGTGGTGGCCGCCGCAGTGCCCCGCGCCGTTTGGGAGAAGTTGGATCTGTGGCAACGAGTGCCCGTCGGGGGAAAGGCTCGGCCACTTGCGCATCGCCAGCGGGAGCTGCTCCGAGCTCCTGGTAGCCAGCTGGTCTAGTGGCACCCGTAAGACACCGCCACAGGAACGTGCCCGTGCGCATCAGAGTTTAGCCCAGCATTGGGAGCGTTTGGGCCGCAGAAGTTCGCCGAAACCGCACCCGCGGCCTGGGCAGCGGGGGGTCCCGCTCAGCCTCTTCCGAGCGGCCCCCCCGCCGATCGAGCCGCTCGAGTCGCCCCGCCAAGGTGTTCTCCGAGTCTGCGGCTCCCAGCGATGAGGGCGCCGGAGAAGAGGTGCTGGAAGTCTAAGTCGACGCCTGCGCCCATTGCTTTGACGGCGCCTCCGCCATCCGAAGCGTGGCCGCTGGCTTCGACGAGGAGACGCACGTCGTCCTGGGTCGTCTCTGCCGCTGCGCGCGCCTCTGCCGCCGTCGACTTGGAGGACGGGGGCGCGTGCCTTTGGGCGCGAGCAGCGATGGGGGTAGCAGCTCAGGGGCGCGCCGGCCAAGGCCGCCAGGGCGCCGCGTGCACCAGCCTCTACTGGACTCCCCAAGCTCATCGTTCCACCCCCCGCCGCGGCCCCACCTCGGAAGGATGAGGTTTTCGTTGTCACCAATGGTTTATGATCCAGAGTTTGATCATCATGTCTACGTCCTCCTAGGAGAAGCAGGTGAGGAGAAGCTGGTAATTTCGCCAATCGAATTTGTAGATGGCTTGATCGCGTTCACGATTGTCGATAACTTCAGCACCGTCACTGTGTTCCCGGATCTTGCAAAAGGCCAGAGAATTGGGGTGAGGTGAAGCTGAGGGGCCCCGTCTCGGGCGCCGTGCCTGCAAGGGCCGCTTCAACATCGGCTTCCGTTCACGGCGATGGTGCCTGCTTGTTCGTTCGACAGCCCTGTGTGGATGGGAAGCGGCAGTGCTGACCAAGCGTGACATCATTAGACTCTAGAATTGGCAGACGAGAAGGTGATGATTCCTCGCTCCCTTGCGCACTTAGTGGCAAGGGGCCCTCCGTCTCGCCTTCCCGACTTACTGAGGAAGCGGAACCGGGACTTCCACGAGAACCGGGCTCCGCTGGGCCCAGATGTGGCCCCCCAGGAGGGCCCGGAGGAGGCGGGAAGGGGGAGGAGGCGAGGAACCCGGAGGTGCCCGAGGCACGGGAGGTCCCAGAGGACCAGAGGTACGACCCGACAGAAGTGGTCAGGGCGGCGGTTTTTGCGCGTTTCTTCTTCGGGGGGGCCCTGCGCACGAGGCTATCTCTGCGCTGCGGCCCTGCTCTGTCACGACCCTGGTTTCGGTGGCCGCGCCACGTGCCGGGGGCCCGTTTCGGACCATCCGCAGCAGGCCGAGTTGAGACACCGACAGTTGGTCTTCCGGGGGCCCCCTCGTCGCCACGGCAGGACGCAGCGCGGAAAACTGGTGCGTTTGGACCCCGGGAGGGGTCCGGGGACCGATTTTGAGCCGATTTCGACTTGTCGGTGTCTCGACCCGGCCTGTTCCGAGACAGGTGGGAAGTCATGTGGCGGGGGGCGAAGCGAAGATAGCCGCAGGAGAAGCTCTGTTAGTATATCTGCTCCTGCAGTGTCCCATCCGTGCCGGGATGTGCCAGGGCCCCAGTGGCTTGACATCCTCGACTACACGCAAGAGTGACCCTTCGCCGGAGTGACCTTTGGTGCGGGCTCACTGGGGTCCCCCCGACCGCTGAGCGCGATGCGATAGTGACTGCTTGCGCCTTTGGATTTGGCCACCTTGCGCCCCCTCAGTCTGCGCACTGAAGGTCACTCTTACCCAGGGTCACTCTTGCGTGTCGCCGACATCCGCGCGCTCCATGTCCACCAGAAACTTGCCAGCCCCGCGCTCCGCAGCCGGCGGCTCGAGAGCGAGACAGCGCGCCACCTCCTGGAACGGGCTCCCCTCGTGCACTGGCGCCGGAAGGCGCGCCCCCAGCTGGTGATGCTCGCGCCGGTCGGAGAGATCAGGGCAGTCAAACGACAGGCCGAAGGGCCAACTCCAGCGAGAGATTCGAGCAGGGGCGGCGGGGCTCCAAGCGGGATGCTCCAGTCGCTCATGCGCTGCCTGCTGCCTCAACGCGAAGCCGTTCACCAGTCGGCAGCCAGGGGCGACGCCGTCGCGCTGTTTCTCAGGGAGGGAACCAGGATGGAGATGGCGCTGGAGGAGGGCCGCCTTAACTACTTGCAGACGGGCGAGAAAACCCGCGAGGGAGAAAACCCGAAGGGCCACCCGATGAGCAAGAATGTTAAGCACGTTCCTCAGGGTTATCATCTTCAGAATCTCGGGGGACACCGCCAACGAAAAATACACGTAGCGAGCGCTATTGAGAACGGCCCAAGGCCGATCGAAGCTGCAGAGGCTGTGAAGGCATTGGAGAAGTGGGGCATTCGTGCCCAGAACTTCGGAGGCGGCCAAGTCGACGTGAGCGCCCGCTGGGCGTGGGCATGCAGCACTCATCCAGACCTACAGGGCGCCCAGATGGTACTGAAGGGGGAACGGAGGGCCCATGGCGGCCAACGTGATGCTCGGAAACGATCACGACCCGAAGTCCAAAGTTGCCAAGCAGATCGAGCAGATGGCGTTCAAGAGCGGCGGCAAATGCCAGGGCAAGGGTCCAAAGGAGGCAAGCAGCATAAGAATGGGCGAATCCTTATTCGCCCAGGTTCAGCGTCGCCATCGTTTTATCTAGGGCCCCCCAAGTGATGTCCCAACCAATGCAGCGAACGCTTAGTTAAAAGAGCAAGCGCCAGTGGACGTCCTGTTCTAGTACCGTACGGCGTTCATAATCGTGATAGTGATTTGGCGGCAAGTCACTCTGCGGGCCTTCGGGGCGGTTCCGGGGTTGCCCCGGGTTCCGCCGAGTTATCGGACACGCGGCTGGGACGGAATGTAATTCTCCCAATTTTGGCCAGGCGTTCGGCCCCCCCCCC